ACGACCTCAACCTCACCGCATCAATTACGGAATGAACAGTGCCATTACTGGGATACAGAGAGTTTTCAACCGGGTTGCCAGTAAATTTGGTTTTAGCGTTTCGCGTGATTTTTTTTTTAATTCGTTTATTTTTCCAGGCTCATTTGCTGTAGCTTTGCGGAGCCGATATTCATTGTTTAGATAACAATATTACTTAAAACTATTGTTAGTAAAGCGGGGGCCGATTACTCGCGGCTATCTCGAGGTTAGGGGTAACAAATTGTAACAAATGGATGGCAGGGTAGGGATTGTAAACACAAGGTTTGGAGAGCAATGTGCTCTTGATCTTGAACTAGGTAACACTCTGATGAAAAAGACAAACATGGGGGTACACCGATGGGCAGCTAACAACTTGGGAGAACACAAGATGACACTAACTACTAAATCCTCAAATCTATCCGTTTTAAAAACACATAAATTAAATTCAAATAGTCGGGGTCTTGGCTCGCCAAGACATCTCTAACGGGTATCGCGGGTTGTTTTCCTCGGGCCCTGAGGGATGTGGATAACTCAGATCTGGCAACACGGTGTAAGATACATGACCAAACAACATGCTCGATATCGTGATATCAACTGCCACACGCACATAAATTGCTGCCTGAGAGCCCCATTCGATAGAAGTGCGAGTCTAACGAGCAGTGATTGGACATAAGCCTTGAAATAACGCGTATAAAGTCGCGGCTCATGTCCAACCCTTTGAACCATGGTTTGTTCGACACCTGTGGGAGAATAGAATGTAACCATCTTCCCAATTCACCATCCTTCCATTTCTGTTGACAACTGATGAGGACTCGCTGACGAGCAATGGAGAAAAATTCGTTGAAGGCGATTTGTCGCTCAAAAATATCGCCTTCCATAGCGCCCACCTTAGCCAACGAGTCCGCTTTCTCATTACCCGGAATTGAGCAATGAGATGGGAGCCAAGCTAAGGTGATAGTATAGGAGCAGTTAGATAAAGCACTCAGTTTAGATCGTATTTCAGGCAGGAAATACGAGGAGTGCTTCATCGGCCTCATTGAACGAATAGCCTCCAATGAGCTAAGACTATCCGTAAACATGAAATTGATGGTCAGAAGGTAGTGAGGCACTTCGCTCTACTGCGTAAAATATGGCTGCGAGTTCCGCAACGTATACGAAGCATGGTTTTTGCAGTTTATAGGAGGCGCTATGAGATTGATTAATACACCAAATCCAGTGGAAGCATTTATGGTTGACCCATCTGTGAAAAAACTTTTATCGTTACTTACATGGTGGTACTTGATTGCAAAAATTGAGGGAACAACCATCGACCGATGGTGATCTGGTATTCCATGGATTTCTTGCATCATGGTCAGATCAAAATTTACAGAGGAACTATAGAAGGCTTGAAAGCAATCACGATTGGAGATTAATGAAGAAGGACCATTTTCGCGTGACTTACTATGTGCTAGATTTTTTAATGTTTTTAGGTAATTTGAAAAATATGTGTAGTTTTAATGTATATTAATTTAGTTCATTGGCAACAACTTATCCATCATTGGGGCCAAGAAGCCTGTTGATGAAGAAATAAAAATAAATAAATAAAAATTAAATAAATTTGGAGCAGACACCACTGCTATAGTAGATATAACTGAACACCAATACATACAGCCATCCTATCGGCTGGTATGCAGTGTAACCATAGAAACAGCTGATTTTGTTGATTTTTTCTTCACTTTTCTGCCTGATCGATTTCAAATCAATCACTTCTCTGTACAACGCTGAAACACTGTAAATTAATCTTTAAAATTTTTGTCGAACCTCTTAACGGAATCCCTTCACATCATCCGATATTGCAATAATTCGATATTGCAATAATTCGATCTTCCATTTTTCAACAGGCCATACTTTGCCAGATTTAAAATTTAGTCCGCTTAACCATTTACTCAAATTTCCTGAATTATTTAATATGATTATCGCTCCTACCTTTTATCCTCGTCGCCACTTGTAGGATTCTGTATATTCAGGAATTATAAGGAATACAGCGGAGTATTAATATTTCATAACTCTTTTCACGTCCACGATATCTCTTCCTACCGTACACGTTCTCACTCCAAACCTAACTGCCCGTCTTTCCTATGCCTACTTTCATGTATTATTTTCGTATAATCTCCTGAGGTGTAGGACCCTACAGTGCCTTACCGACTGAGCTAAGAAAGGCCCAATATACAATCATGAAATTACGTCGACAAGTATAATAAACCGTAAAATTTGCTTCCCCAAGACTCACAACGATCCTCAATCATGGGGCCATTTGTTGCGGTATACCAATTAATTAATTTTGTAAATATTAGCTGAAAAAAGTATCGTTTTCCGGTTTTGCGGTATTACTATGGATGGTGTCATTTGCAGTGGGTGCGCCAGCAGAATAATATTATGCCTAGCTCTGCAACCACGGGTTGACATCTATTGCTTAAACGGGACATCCTCACACTCCCAAAAAAAAAACTGCTGAAAAACTAGAGGAAAAATTCAGCTCATTATATGAAACCCAAGCGAATGGGTTTTTATGAGCGAAATCCAAAAATGTGTGCTGTTATTTTACTGGACCTAGCAATGCGAAATTAAATATTTAATCCATTTTGCCAGCGAGGACGATGGGTGGTATTTAACTGCACCTAAGTAAACGAGTTTTTTTTATTGTTATTTAATTTGAAAACATACTGGATGTATGAATGGCAAAATAGCCACCGCCTCTGCTCCCTTCCTTCCAGCACAAAAACACTGTACTTTTACGGTACTAAATAGTAAAAGTCGTTTATCAAGGTTTATTTATACGTCCAACCGCCGACGGGTGCCGTTTTGGATTCTAATTAAATGCAAGCGAGTGAAAAATGACACAAGCACCTACCAACCTATCTACCTACCCACTAGGACGCAGTATCCTTGTCTGCCCACGCAATTGCGATGCTGCTTGCTAAGCAGCGACTGACCTGATGTCCTCACTGGTGATTTCAACTGGAGTGAAGGAACAGCATCCACGTGGTGTCGACTGTCAGAGGCAACGCGTTTGTTTCAACAGTTGGTAGAAGTACAGGAAGTGAATGAAACCATAACAGTGGCCAGGAATGTATGGGATATTCCATTGATTTTATATCAATATTAGTTATGGAGATTATTTTTATCAGAAAACATTCGAAAGCTCTTTGTATCCATACTTGCTATTTTTGCTATGACATTTGGTAGTCTATTTGAATGGATTTTAGATGATTTGGATGGTGAACGTTTGCTGATGTAGAAAGAGTCTTATGATAACTTATGATATGTTAATAATTGTAAATTTCCGTAAATTTGTTTTTTTAACCTTTCAGCATTGCGGTCACTTTTGGCCTGGAAGCACTATGTGCATTTTTTTTCTAATATAGGGTATACGTCCCTAACCTCGGTCTAATATGCAGCCATAGATTACGTTTTTAATCATAACTCATCAATTAATTTACCTGCAAACGATATTCTACTGCTAAATGGTATGCTTAGATATGCTTATCATGTCGTTTGCTATCAGGAACCGCAAAAAGTTGAAAAACTTACTTTTTTTAAGACAAAAACTCACCAGGGAAATGTATGTAATATCGGTCTATTGTCCCCAAATTGGGTCTATTTATCGATGCAACTTCGTCCTATCCTGTTTGATTCTCAAAAAAAACGCTCTTGGTAACGTTTTCTTATGTATTTTTTTTTATCACTATCACTGTTAACTTAATACTCTTCATTCCTCAAAACATTTCTTAGAGAAAATTTTACGAAAACTACATTAAATCACTCAAGTTAAAAATTAAAAATTAAAAATTTCGCTTATCGTCTTTCGACCGCAGAATATCTAAATCAAAACATTGTGATGTTCATTATACAGATTTGGCAGAAAAAATCTCCCTTCCTGTTCGTTCCTTATCATCCAAATGCAAACCACATTGTTGACGTTACTCTTATTGCTATATGCTGTCAAATGAATTTCATGGGCCAAAGTTAGGAACATAGAAAAGAAATGTGTCCCTAAAGTTGGGTCCATGATTTACTTGTGAAAACGTTGTTAAACAATTAAAATAAACATAAAATATTCAAACAGTAACTGTGAGTTTTACGTCTAGTGTGTATTATCAGGTAATTCCATTCAATAAATGCCATAATCAGGCCATTTGATGATCGTCAGTGCAACCTTCCCATCTTAACCTTAGAAGTCATGGCGGCTAAAAACTCCGAACAGAGTGATATTCTCAACCAGTTTTATTACTTACGAGAGCTGAAAATGTATTGAAATGTTGTGATATAAATTGATTTGTGTGTGGTACACATTTATCAATCATCAGTGATCAATATTTTCCTTATTTTTTGTGTAATATTCCTTAATTAATTATTTATTTGCGTGATAGGCCGAATGAAAGGACTAGACCCACATTACATACCGTAACCCTATTAGGAAGGTTAACCTACTCATAAAAACATTCCCCTTCAAGCATTACTGTGCTGCACAGTGCCTAGATAAATATTTAAAAGCAAATCTTCTCAGAAGTCAAGATCTTCTTCATCTGCATCTTTGCGAAACGTCTTTCCCTCTCACAGGAGGAGGTTTGTGTATTTCCGTCTTTGCAGCCAAAATGTGACTTCCGCTCGCTCCATTCGTACCTACCAATCGGTGAACCAATGCTCCTTCAACTTCTCAGAAGATCCCGCACCATCTCCGGTTTTAGCGAGCAAATGCATCTACCGTGTTTCCCTTCGAGTGATTTTAATGAAATTTTAATTGATGACGAATCGCAGAGACAAACCGTAGGAAATCGACTTCGTAGTTGAACTAACAGAGCTGCTACATCGGAGGTTCTTGAACCTCTTAATTACAGGTTAATTTCGAGCCGTCTGGAGACATCTCGAAATTTGAAGACTCTTCTACCCCGTTTCTTGCTGCTAGAGGAAAACCACCATCCATTTTCTCCGTTTCCTTAAAGCTGTGACATCACGTATACGAAATCTTTAAACATTTTTGCATTTGTGGACGTAAGCGGATAGGTGAAAGAAGATTAAACCCAAGTGGAAAGTGCTTTAAATAGTTCCTTTAAACAAACGGAATCCAGTCGAAAAAGGTGAACCGTAAATCGAATAGCTTGTGAGTGGGTGTGAAACAGTGAAGAAGAAAAAATTGTCTACTGCGAAAAAAAAGGGGATAAGTACCCTCCCGGCGGCACGGAGAAAGCGCGCCACTTTCTCACAATCGATAGCAAAAGTGTGATATGAGAACGCCGTCTCATAGGAACAGCTGATGAACCCCACGGAACACCAAACGATCGGGGCCCTCTTCCTCATGCTTCTGGCAGTGACGACGACGAGGGTCTCTACCAACAGCGCAGTCAAAACAGGAATAGCACCTGTGCCAAATGGTAAGTGTTCACTTTTGCTTCGTACCTTCAACGGTTTAGGGGTTAAGACTGAACCCGGTGAGGGAATATTGGGAATGAATTTTAGTGAAACGATTCTATGTTTTTTTCTTCCGTCGATCTTGTTTTCTGTACTGAGTACCAATGCTTCCGATGCCAGGAAGGCAGCTTCCACTCCTTGACCATACCTTTTGATCCTTCAACTCATGAACCGGGGACCAACGACTTTGCTTCCCTTCCGAAGTAAGGCGTGATCAGAGATTTTATGCCTCAGAACATCCCGGTGGCACCGCCTGGGATTGAACCCAGGCCTTTTGGGGTGAGAGGCAATCACGCTTACCGCTTCACCACCGGCACCGCTATAGTTCACACCTTGACAACGCTAATTCGTGTGAGTCTAGGAGAAATCTTGACCAACAATTGAAAAGGGGAAACTTTACCCAAAGATGCCATTGATTTTCTTAAGGGTAGACACCTATTGGTGGGTTAAAAAAATCGTTTTTTTTTTTTGTTTCATTCAAGGCATCTTTAAACATAATAGAATGTTGTTTATGTTGAAAATGGAATAAAAGAATGAATGTAAGCCGCTGTTAGAATTGTGTTAAACGCACTTAAAAGTAGCTCAAATCTTTAAACGCGTTTTTCTCGAGACCACATATTTTAAGCTTGCAAGACAGCAGAGATGCCAGATTTACAGACTATTATTTTTTTCACAGACATTTTTTTTTTTTTGTTACAGACATTTACAGACTTTTTTAGTTTTTTCACAGATATTTACAGACTTTTGTAATCAAAGGAAAATTTCAAAATTTTTTTGGTTCCACTGTTTTCATCTTTAATCAAATTACACATGCGATGCATTCAAATCGTTTTCATACGATATGATGGTTTGTTTGCATACGTCAACTCACGTTGGCCAGTCTTTAATTTGACTGTCTATAGTCACTGTCACCGAAAAAGTGAATGAAACCAAGGGGAACAAAAGTCCTAAATATATTCAAATTTTGCCAAAAATTACTCTAAAGTTTTATGCATTGATTTATAGTCGGAGAAATCCATTTTATCGAATTCATCCGATATAATCGTGCTTAAATCTCTAAAAACAAATAATTTCGATTTTTATCGGTGCCATCTCTCATATCGGGTCACATCTCTATAAGTATCATGACAGGTAAAGATGACAGCCGTTTATTTGTAAGAAAGAAACGTTGTGAAATCTCGACCAACAATTCAAAAAGACGGATCAGCTTTTGTTATCAAATCTTGTAATGCTCTTTACTCGCAAATCAAAGGTCGCCTTGCCAAATCAACAACACCGTCGGCTAGGGAAAATTCTATCCTATCCGATGGTAGAATTGGTTTGCGTAGGCGTGCTTCAGATTGCATGATAAGGTCGTTACAAGTTTACTGATTCATTCTTTAGTATTGTTGGTTGATAAATCTGTTCAAAAATCAATGACGGGGATTTCTTGAAGAGTCCACAAATTGCCTGATGATGGCTGAGATACCCTATCACTTCAAGTATTCTAGAGCACAAATTTCTGACACAGTTGTGACATTACTCATGAAATTGGAACTCCCTGTTTGCTGCATCAAATGTGAAGTTCCAGTTTCATTGTTGAATATTTTGTGGCAGCTGTGCTCTTGAAATATTGAGGTGATAGTATTACGCATTGCACACTTTGTAGGAAGTTCGGAAGCGCATATGTCACGACTGGGAATTCTCGGATACCTCCAAGGTCTGATTTTTATCACTACCTCAACAGACTTCCCCAATCTCAGGCATCGATGGCACCTATCGTTTGGTCTTGGGTTTGGTCACGTTTGGCCATAAATTCTGTTGCCAAATCTCCGGGCAAATATCGTTGCTTCCAGAGTTTGAACATGCAACAATCACAAAAGCAGGTGCTCAAAAAAGTTATAGTTCACATCACAAAACACACTGAACACAACATCAGCATAATGCTCGATATTTCTAACACATCCAAGATTATCGATGAATAGTGTATGAAATCGGATAATATCGGCAGGTGCTTCATTACGACTCGAATTTATCTTAAAAAATCGAAATGTTGAAGCAAATTATATAGAAATCCGTAAGGTGAAATATAAGCGGATTACTTTCGTCCCCCTTGAATGAAACGGACAATGTGATTCCATCCTATTCCATCTTTTTATTCGAGAACACCCACCCTCGGATGCAGTTTTAGTGCTTAACGAAGCAGCAATTTTCGCCGTTTTTTACCTGGATAAGAGTCGTAAAAATGTGGATAAAATCGACAAAAATCAAAGGAAACCCGAGAGGAAACCCATAATGAACTGTTTCAAAGGATCAGGTATGCTATAGTTAAGGAAAATCAATATAAATACTAACAATAGTCATTATGTTAAGTTCCATGTGATTTGAGGTATCGCACGATGCATTTCGGAGCATGTCAGAATCTGTCCTCTTCCCGGGGGTACTTGGTATATCTGAAAGAGGCCATTGTGATCATTAGGTCACAATATGTCCACCATTGATCTTATAGTAAAATTAATGTGATTGCGACACCTCATGATTAGTTTTTGATATATCAATCTTTTGCAAATTCCCCAGTGGAATCTGGAATTCTCATTTTTGTTCATATCTTCGGAACCATAATTCCGATCGGGAAAAAAAAATCAATAACGATCTATGGGGATTTGAAACTCATCTTCTTAAATTTGTTCCACTCAAATTGGTCCAGCCATCTCTGCGAAAATTGAGTGAGTTACACTCATACGAACTTTCATACATACATACTTATATACACACATACAGCAGCATTTTCCGATCCCGTAGAGATGAGTCTATTGGTATATGCCATTCATCTCTCCGGGTCTTGGAACGAAATTGTGTTTTTCAAGTGATACTATAGCCTTTCGGTACACCTTGGTGTACGAGAAAGGCTAAAAGGTTGGTATCAGCAAATCGTGTTATATTTAGCTATGTTTTTCTCCCCCAGGTGTGTAATTATTTTGCAAAATGTAATGAATATGTTGCTTGATATATCTTATTTTAAACTGCATTTGTAAAACCGTTACAACAGTGTTAGTGCTTAGAGCCAATTCATCGCAATTGGCTTCGTTGTACAGTACTCTCCATTTCTTGATGATGATGATCTTTTTTTCGATATTCCTATCTGAATCGAGCAGTCCATATCCTGATTCATTTGAGCCCGAAGTGTTTAGAATCGTATTAATAAGCTTATAAATTTCTCTTATTATTGTCGATTTCTCCATATTTAGGAGTTGGAAAGTTGAATCTCTCACTAAGATGTGCTCGTTCTCCCGCTGCTGGCGTACAAAAGGACCAGGACTAAGTAGCTAACGGATTTTCACACTACATGGCATATAAGATCAACTCAAATTTAAGTTTAAATTACTGAAACTCTAGAAAACGTAGTTTATTTGTAGACTGAGTAAAATTTTCCGAGCCTCATAAATCTTTTCGAAAATGACACAAATAGACGAAAAATTTACTCATTCTACTGTGTTACCTGTCTTATAACGAATATACGTTGTATACGAGTACCCCGAATACAACGTATGACCCCGAATACAACTTATAGCATTTGCAATGTAAAATTAACCGAAATATACGTTGTACTCGAAGTACTCATATACAACGTACAATCGTTATAAGTTAGGTAACACAGGAAAAGTATATACGCAAAGAATAAATCACATATCCAATGGAAAATATTCATTAGAATTTCACATAACTTTCATGTGATATCATAATTGGGAATTGCACCACAAAATCACATGAATTTTATATGTCAAATGAAATTAAGGTGATATGTCATATAGAACTAATGTGATCACATGAATTTTATGTGAAGTTCATATAGATAGCATTGGTTTTGGTAATGGAAAAATATTATGTGCATTCCCAATAGAAACTACATGAACACTATTTTACGTGTACTAATTTCGTATGCACATCGAGATATTGCTCATATTAGAAAACAAATTCCTTTTAAAGCTCGGAAAGTTTAACTCAGCTTATGATACAGCGTAAATGTATGCATTACCAACTCCAATTAGGTTCAATTCGATAAAAGGGGGTGATTTTTGATCGAAAATGACTTTTCAGAAATTTCAAATTTTGAATCGATTTTATGACCACATCACACGCAAAAATTGTGCTAATTTTATGCAGCCCAAAAACAGACATTTCTGAAATTCACAGACATTTTTCGCAAACTTCTGAAAAAAAATCTGGCATCCCTGCAAGACAGGGATCTCGGAAACTACACACAGAGGATACCGAAGTCGGTAAAATTTTACTGGGTTTTTAAACAGCTGATTTTTCAGTAATCATCCCAGTAATTTTAAATTTTACTGAAAACTTCACGTGGTTCACTCTTCTATTATCCACAAGACACGATTTTTCACGACACTAGCGGCACTAGTGACACACAAGGCGACTAGTACACTTTAAATTGAGCCCTTAGCTGTTGACAGCTCAATATAATCAAGGGTATCAACAACAGCTCACAGTTGAGTAAAATTACCTGTAAAATACCTGTTTTCAATTATATTACAATTTTATTCAAACTGGAGGTTATGGCAAAACGAAATATAATTTATCCCATTTGTAAAAGAAAAAAACACAACACATGTCTAATACGAATAATATTTAATCTTAGATGTTTGTTTTAAGATGAGAGCCAGCAAAATGCAAACTACAGAAGCGTTGAAGGCCTACAAGCTATTTGAAACCTCTTCAAAATTGGGTAGAGTCTACCCAATTCAGTCAAAACTGAACCTACCCAAAAATTGGTAAACATACATTTCAAGGAAAGTGAGTGAAGTTTACTCAGATTTTGACGTTTTCTATCTGCGTAAACTTTACCGATTTTGACAGATATGAAAAGCCACTGCAGAAGCTCTATATCAAACATAACCTCATCCGACTGGCTCTATCAAGGTGATTAATCATGAGTTTTCGAAATGGAATTCAGCATTGCAATCCTCAA